ATCTTTATGTAGGCAACAAGTTTGAGACAGTGGCACAAAAATTTCAGTACTATTGTCAGGATTTGTAAGACACATTCATTCAGACTGATGATGAAAGGTGTTTTCCAAGTGGTGAAGTGCCACACTTGGCTTGCTTTCTCATACCCTTTAAAATCTGTTCAAGCAGCACCAAAGGAGATATCCAGACCTGCTACTGCAACACTTCAAGAAAATTGCAATTTTTTAACTTCCTCCTCACTCAAATTCTAGCTCATACCTAGTGAACAATCAAGCAGACATAACTGACTTCTGTGTTCAGTTCCAATTTTCCCCACCAACGAGGGCAGTCCAGCAGGTAAAAGTGTGACATCAACTTCAGTCCTAAACCCTCAGTTAAGCGCTAGCTGAGAGTAATTTGAATATGGAGTAACAATTTAATCTCCTACTTGCTTTCTCAATTATAGTAAATAATCAACAGTAGAGCTGCTGTAAGTCAAAAATACACAAGGGAAAAAAAACCCTCCAAATTTCAAGAAAGATGAAAGAAACTTCTAGGAAAGCCAATAAGTCTTTTTTGGGTTCATACACTTTAGCTGAAGAATTATAGGGTGTAACACAGCAAGGCAGTTCCCAATTCTGAGTCATGAGTTTTCCCACATCAGCATGGTTGCCCTCTGGGCTTCACTGTGGCTATTTTGAACTAGAAGAATTTTGGTTTTGATTTTCCCAGATACAGATCCCATGAGTTAATGAGTCAGAGAGAGAAACAATGAGTTTACATTTCAAATTTGCCATAAGAAAAATTCATATGTAAAGCTTCAAATTCTCTTATTTAGCTGGTTTTATGTGAGTTTTAAATTAAATAAATAGTTTATTATTTGTCACAACCAACTAGTAGTGCATAGCCAGTTGCAGTTTGAGATTTCTTTTTCCTCCCTATGCTTCTTTTGACCGCAACTACGCAGGCTATGAGGCAGAAAATGTTATCACATGAGACTGAAGACACAGGATCCACAATGAGAACCATCCACAAAAGGTTACCAACACTTCTCCAAAACAGATTATAGTAGCTTCAACTCACAGGAGAGGAAAAACTGTACTGGTAACTGCCAGTTCAGTTGTTTAGTGTTTGTCTACTAACTTCACAGAGATTACAGGTTCTTATGAAGGCCAGCTTAGAAGTTTTCAGGTGTAAACAAACATTTTCATCAAACCAGAATTTTTTTAAGTAGTTTCTGCAATGCTCTATATACTCTTACTGGAGACCATGTGTTTGGTGTTTATTAAGATCATCAACTAAGCAACACAAGCAGAACTGCCTACAGCTGTATTATTAGGAGCTTACATTCCCCTGTAGTCCTGACCATACTTGCAGGGGGCACAACAATATTTGAACTGTTTCCACTCATTGCTCACACACATCACAAAAGCTCGCTTCTCAATAAAATTGTTTTTAAAAGTAGTCCATAATCGCTTACTGGCAGATTAGGTATCTTACATCTAAATTAATTTACTGTTGAGAACATTAGTCCTTTTTTAATATGTTTGCCTCACAGACAAATACACTATTAAAAAGTAAAAGGTTACTGACCTTTTCAGGAAGGACTAGTGAAGCTGACATTAAAGTGACATGTGATTATAAAGATCATTCCCTACCAAAAAAAATGCTGATTTTTTTCCGTTTTATTCCTTCATTTAAAGACAGACATAAAAGGAAAAGAATTCTCTCTTTTATGTCTGTCACTTTGCATCACATGGCTTTTCTTTTTCTAGGCCTGCTTTGTGTGTAATCTTAAATCTTTTACCTTATATGTTTTCAGATGATCAAGACAATATCCTTGGAGTACACAAAAAGGTTATAGTACTGAGTTTTCTTTGGGGTTTTTTTTTAATGCCTTCTTTGGTTTAATATGTTTAATGCTTGTGAGAGGTGACAGTGGTTTTATTGGCATTTAGAAATCTAGTTCTCAAGCAGTACCGCTGGCAAAGCAAAAGTTGTAACAGTGCAGGCTTGTCCACAAAGCTCTGCCAACACAGATCAATACCATCCCATCCTATTATTTATTATAGTTTCTACTACATTGCCAAGTGGAAGTGTCAGGTATGTTTGTATACAGTTTCCCAGATAACTTCTGGAGTTGTTTTAGGAAGTCATATTTATGTCACATTTTTCATTTTCCAATACCACTACTATCACTGATATTAAATAAAAATGTAGGAGTTCCTTCCACAGACACAAATTAATTTATGATTCCAAGATGAATACATCTGATCATCCCAAATCATTATTGCTAATATTTTCATTACTGTGTTGATAATTCAGTATAAGGCATATCCTCCTTCTGTTTGGCCCTCCTTGTGAGAAGTGTTTTGCTGTGGAAAACTTCCCAAGATATTCTCTAGTGAACAAAAAACCAAAAACCTCTCTACTTCCCAAGATATTCTCCAGTGAACAAAAAAAAAACCTCTCTACTTTCTCTGTTCTGATTTTATTATGATTGCTCTTCCCACCCAGCCTTAATTTTCTGTGGATCCTCAGGATTTCTGTTCATAAATACTACAGTTACTGATAAAAATTCTTTTTTGCTGGTTGTTGCTTTAATTCATTTTAGCCTGCCTTAATATGTTTCCACATTTCATGAGGATTTATGATTCTGTTTCCTTTTTTGGACACAACTTCCTTTGTGTCCATCTTTTTGGAAGATGTCTTCTGGTTGTTTTTTTTTTTTTTTTTAATTGTCCTAGCCCTGTGGTTTCATTGTGTTGGCATCCTTCAGAGCTCAGCCCTGCACTGCAACCAGAGGGGTAAATTATTGTACAAAGTATCCTGCAGCAAACTCCCATGGAACATAGTGCAAACAGTGGATTATGGACTTTCAGTGCATCCTGTAATTTTAGTTCATTTAGAATGTACTCCTACGCTTCTAAGACTAAAACCACATCCCAAAGCACAGCAAGGAGCACAGAGCCATCATAGTACACAAAAAAAACACCTCTATACAATCTTTTGGGATGTGCTAATTCTTTTCCCTAATTCACTGTTAGTACACTGAATTAAAACTGGTAAGTTTACAAACACTACTTGGAATCAAGCCACTATGACTGATAAAAACAAAATTCTAGGACTCTTAAATAAGTGGGTGCCACATTTGGCACCGTCCCCCTCACATACAAAGAGCTGCACAGTGGGAGCTTCACTTAATTTGTGTCAAAAGGATGCCTGAAGAAAGTATCTGATTAATAGCAAGGACATACAAGAGAAAGTATTTGCATAAAACAGAAAGTATTTTCTAAGGTAACAAATGCACACCTCAAATAGGAATTAAAACAAAATCACATAACTCAGAGGGACTATTGTAGAGCACGTGGGTTTGTGAGGAAGTTGCTACAGTACTAAACATAGAGAGTCTGGTAGAAGACTGTCATGAAAACATACTGTATGCTTTATTACACTCTGCTTTAAAACAGCTTCATTATGTGTTTTCACAGAGAATTCTTTGTACAGTTCAAGAAAGAAAATAACATTGCTACAAATCACAGGAGTTTTCTCTGCATTTTATGCCTCTAAACTTTTCTCTGCTGAGTCATGTCATCTGACTAGTCACACAAGAATACATGTCAGCTTGTAGCTTGTCATGGAGCTGATTAGAGACTTTTTTGAAGAAGTTGAAGCTAATGTGCTTAAGCTATTGAACAAAAATGTCATATATGCTCTTCATGTGCACTTTGTTCTCCATATTAAATCATATGCATCATAGATCTTTAAGGACAAAATTACTGATGCACAGCACATATGCTCCTTTAACCACCACAGTTCACCCTAGTAAAGTATTATCAAATATAAGAGTTCCTAAGACTATAGAAAAGAAATTATCATGCTCTATTTTCTTCTGCTGTTGTCATCTCTCAGGGATTTTCTCCCCATAATGATTTAATCTTGTTAAAAATTTTGGGTTCACATTCAATTGATGGTGCCGTCTAGTAACTGGACTAAGATCCCAAAGTGTTTTTTTCACTCTTGTAGGCCCTAAATTTTATGTGCAGCAATACTTCACAAAATTCATGACTGTCTCCAATTTTATCAGTGCTTACTACTTCCTACAGGTTTTTGTTTAAAATGTACATTTCTTTGTGTGGCTTGTTCCATGTTGACAAACCATTTTTCTGATGGAGGCTGCTCACGGTAACAGAGCTATCTACAGACTCTAAACTTTTCAGCACTGTCATTTTGCATCTTTAATTAGTTTGGTCTCTTCCCGTACTTGCACTGGAACCTCGGTGTGTTCTTTATCTGACTTAGCATCCTTAAGAGCGGCTTGCCCTCCCTGAGGAGAACAAACAAGGACTGAAGTGGCGAGCCCTCGCCAATAACACCGAAATTAAAAAGCAACCACGTATGAGCAGCAGTGACATTTGAGCTAGTTTTCGCTGCACATCCCACCGAGAAAACTTTCCTTGTGCCCTTGGGATAAACAAGGACTGGGTAAACTCGGGACCTCACAGACTCGAGGCAGAGACACTTACTTTCTGGAGCCTTTCCAGGGAAGGGCGTCCCGGAGGAGGGGCCGCCGCCTCAGAGCCCCCGCCCGCCCGTCCGTGCGGGGCTTGGGCGCCGCTCGCGCCCCTGCCCGCTCTCCAACAGGTCCGTGTGCGGGGCGGGGCGGGCCGGGCTCGGGCGAGCCGGGCACACACACACCGCCTTCCCAACACCCGCGGAGGTGCCGCGGGACCCTCCCGAGCCCGCCCGGGGGAGCCCCCGCCGCCCCGGTCCCTGCCCGTGCCGGCGGCCGAGGGGCCCCCGCAGCCCAGCGGCGCCGTGAGGGACCCGCCGCCCCCCCCCGCCCCGCGGGCGATGGAGCCGCCGGCGGCCGCCGCTCGCCAGGTACCGGGGCTGACAGCGGGGCGGGCGAGGCGGGGGGCTCTCCGGGCTCAGCGAGCCCGTCGGCACCCGCCTGACCCCTGTCGGCCCGTGTCCGCGGGACGGGCATGGGGTGCGAGGGGCAGCGCGGCCGGTTGTGGCGGCTGAGCGCGACCGGCCGCTGGAACGTCCCCGCTCCACGGCCGAGCTGGAGGCAGCGATGGCCTCTTCGTCTCTGTTCGGTTGTCCCCGAACTCGTACGAGGGAGAAAGAGTCATAGGTACCGCGGAGGGGAAGAAAATGCGTTCTGAGGGGCTTTATCCTTGTAAGGCAGGGGAAGGGTGGCTGCTGGGCACGGCTGAAATTCGGTGTCGAGTGAGGACCAGGGCGTGAGCGTGGCCCTGCCGTGCCCCATCATCTCCTGCCGTGCCCGGCGCTGTCGGTGCCATAGCGAGTGGTCCCAGGAGAGGACCCTGCGAGGAACAAACGCCTCCCGTTCCCTCTTCTGCAGCCTCCTGCGTTGCACAGCTCTCTAGCCGGGCTCCCAGCAGACGTCCCTCCCCGTCTGCAGGCCAGGTGCACCCTCGAGAGCGCTACCGGAGCCGTTTCACCTCTGTCACATCTTCTGTTGCCCTTTCTTCTCCTTTTTGCCCATTTAAATGGGTCCCTTCCGAGTGGGGAAGGGACTAGGGTTGCACAGTGCACATTTTGTTCATTTCTTGTAGCAACTGAAGAGAGGGAACTGGACTGTTCTAGTTCAGTGCAATTCCAGGTGTACAGTGCTGTAAGTAGCAGAGGGCATTAAAATTTCAGGAGAGAATGACAGGGATGCTCCTGCTGCTGAAATCAGTAGTGAGATAAAAATGTAGCACCAGTAAGTCTAGATAAAAAACAGCTGAGGGAGAATGTTACTTATGAAACTGTAGGTGATATGAAGAAGATAGAAATTACTGGTTGGTTTGTCTGTGATGACAGAAATGTTTGGGACACCAGGTGGATATACTTAATGATAGATCCAGAACAAAGAAAAATACCTGTCTGTTTATATGATGCATAGTTAAAACATGGCATTCATTGCCACATGACATTGCAGATGCTAAAAATTATACATAATTTCAAAAAGGAGAAAATTCAAAGAGTAATCCATTAAGGGATGTAATGCACCAAGAACAAGTCTACTTTGGGAAATCCAGAATACACAAACTGAGAGAAGCTGGGACAGGAAAGTTATTTGCTAACTGGCTATGTCCCATGTCCTTATGCTCTTCCCTAGGCACCTTCCATGGTCACTCTCAGAAATGGGATACCAGGCTATACTGTCCTTTGATCTGAGCCAGTATTACTCTTACGTTACTACCGCTTAAGGATTGAAGGTTCCAATTAAATATATAGCCCTCCTTGAGGCAGGCACTTTTATGCTTGTCAGCTTATGCCTCTATCTACAGATGACTTTTAGATTTTTCAATAATTTTTTTTTTCTGGGAGGATTAGTGACAAGCATCTGAGTTTGTAATACATGCTATGTAAGTTAAATAGGCTCTTGCATCCATGAAATAGTGGTTTTACTTTCAGACTAAGTACACCATGTTTTGCTTTTGTAGAACACAGGCAGGCATTTTCTTCATTAAATGTTCCTTTTTCGAATTTCACAACTTCACTTAAAATACTGTATTTCTAATGAATAATTCTAAAATGTTCTCTGACAGTGTAGTGGTGATCTGAGGAGAGGACCACTGCTTGCTTATGAAGAAATACTTTATGAAGATTAGAAATTTAATTTTTGAAGCCACTTGCTACAAAATGTGCTTCGAATTTTGGCTTGTACCAGACTTTCCAACAGAAACTTTCTGGGACTATTCATAATTAACTAAACCATTGAATGGCACAGAAATATTTAAAATACTGGATAAGACCTTGGATTAGAGTATATCCAAATGTTGACAAGCTTTACTAGTAACTCTTAAAATTAATTTCATTTCCCTGATTCAGGGGCAAATTTTTGCTGAAGTATTTTCAAAAATACTTGATTCCCATTTCTGCCTTTGAAATGTGACTAAAAAGCTCTTTGTTTAGCAGCCTACCTCTGAGTTTATATACATTTCTGTCCTTCCACGTATTATTTTTCAGAGAAGAATTACAGAAGATTATGGGTCAGACTTATACAGGAATTAGATGCCTAATACCCCTTTGATTTCTCACTGAAAGAAATGGGATTTATTTATCAAAATACCTCTACAAATCTGAGTCTATGAAAAGTGGGGGTTCTTTATCTTTCATAGACTACATGTAAAATCCTTATTCTCACCTCTTTTTCTCATGTACGGTGTTTTCATTGTCTTCCTCAAATAGGTAGAAACAGATGACCAAATAGCCCTCCTTAGTAAGCCCAGGAAAAAAGGGGGAAACAGTGATCTGGCATCAGCTGCGTTTAACATTGTCAATTCAATCATAGGATCAGGCATCATAGGTAAGTCTACTTTTCTTTTCTCTTCTGTGTTCAGCCTTGTTTATTCATGCATGATCATCCAGCTTGGAGAATAACATTGTCATCTTACTTTCTGCTGCTGTTTCTAAAGATTTTTCTCTGTATTTATTTGCTTACAATGCAAAAATGCAGAGGGGTCAGTTGAGATCACATCTCAGTGACAAATACCCCAGAGCCTCTTGGCCATAATGATCAGAGAGGCTGGACAGGTGCTAACAGAACTTCACACCTGGGGAACACTTTGTCCACTGAAAATAATCTCTCTGAGGTTATTAAGCATGCTGGTCCAATTTTGGAGATTCCTAGCATTTTTTTAAAAATCTGAATATTTTTTTATTTTGGTTGTCACAAATAATTATTTGTAAAGGTTCTTCTATAAGTCTCTCCTTTTCTTTGCAGGATTGCCATATTCAATGAAGGAAGCTGGTTTTCCTCTAGGAGTACTGCTTTTATTTGTGGTTGCCTACATCACAGGTACTCCAAAGGCAGTTTCTGTCACATTAGTCCTGTGACATTTTGGCTGTTCTTGAGCTTTATGATACCTTAAACAAGTATATCTATGAGAGTAAAAATTACTAATTTTTTCTTTTACCTCACTAATCCCTTGAGCAGATTAGTGAAAGTAGAGAATTACACTGTACAACATATAAAGCTACTTTTTGTGTGCATTTATTTTCATAAAGCCTAGTTTCTTGGACTAGTCAAGGTAACATTTGAAAGAATGTTTTTATTTGTGCCTCATAACGACATGTTTTAATCCACTGTCTTTACCCTAATTAGGAGACTGATCCTTGAGTGGGTTGTATATCACTGTTTTTAAATGTACCACAGAATGCAAACCTTTGGTTGTACTATGATTTCGAATATTTTCCTTCCAATATGAACCTATAACTCCTGGATTTGGTGGGTTGAAATATTTTGTGAGATTTCTAATCTCCAATCTTCCCAATGACACTGTTTTCCTTTTAAGAGACTTTCTTTTTTTTAAGGAGTGAAAGAAGATGAGAAGTAACCAACCATAAGCTGGTTCATATTGTCTTTAACAGTACTTTATATTTTAACAGATTATTCCATTATATTACTAATCAAAGGAGGAAATCTGTCCAGTACCAACACATATCAAGAGCTGGTCAGAAAAACCTATGGTCGTGCAGGTTATATAATTCTTTCAACTCTTCAGTTTTTATATCCATTTATTGGTAAGATCACATAAAGTATCGATGTTTGAGTTTTACAAGTAACAAGCTTTTTTACATTGCCTCATTGTTTCACTGGTTAAATATTAAGAACTGTGTAAAGAATATACTATATATACCTCTCTACTATTCAATAAAATAATTAAATTTACTTTGTGTGTTCTGAAGAATGACCGAGGAAGAATTCAATGAATCGGAGGACCAGAATAATAGAAATGAACTGAAATGTAATAGCAGAGAAATTCATGATCACACATGTAAAAATGAATGACAAAAAAAATAGCAAAGGAGATTCTGTTCTAGAATGAGTACCAGAGCACAAAGTTGATGAGCCTAAAACAAAAGGAAAACATGGCTTTAGGAGTATACGGAATTACTATTTTTTCAGAGATGCAATATTACTGTAATTGAAAAAGCCACTAATCAGCTCTTGCTTGAATATTGTGTGGTTTCATTGCTCTTCAAAAGCATTAGTTCAGCCTCACGCCCAACAAGCTACTGGGAAGTAGGGCAGTCAAGATTTCTTTGAAGAGGAAATAATAAAAGAACAAACAGGTATAATCTGGGCAGGAATTTATGAGACGAGAAGTTTGAAATAAAGTGATATTCTAAATGTGTCCCTTACAGGAGTAATGTGATCAAATCAAATCTTATATGATCTTGATAGTTTCACACATGGGGCTCCAAGAGGTGGTGACTTGGGATACCCAGGTCAAAATTCCTACTTTGTGAATGATCAGTCCGATTACAGGTAGCTGAGATTTTTAAGGGAGTCAGGTTACTGTTACTTCAGGCAACAATGTTACACATGTAATTATCCTCCACTGTAAATCAACTACTTTGTAGATAATATGAAAAAGAATTGTAAAGATCTCAGTCCTCACCATGGAACTAGTTATGCACTTGTATGTGCTTGAATTTATTTCTGTAAGTAGTGTAAATGACTTACAATTTCACAACAGTGGATATTTATGCATTAAGGTCAATACCTACATGTATGCTGTCTGACTGTTGAATACCACACGAGTGTATAAATATATTTTATATGTATACACACATGCACAAATATACACACTTTCAGTGTAGAATTAGACAAGATTGACATGTGAATGTATAGTCCACAGCACTTATTAATGAGAGGGAGGACTGGAAGTCCATATCTGATATCTTAATCTATTTTCTCCTTTCTTCTGGTTTAAAGATTTTGCTAGTTTTTTGCATTACCTAGAAAGTCCCTTGTGTTTCATTGCAGGACTAATTATTAGACTAACATAGGAATTTTACTAAATAGAAACAAGAATTTGAAAATAAACTGACAAAGAATTGCTATTTGAAACAAACTGTTTTAAAAAGCCTTTTTTACCTCTTCTGAACTAAGTTTATATGTCAATATAACTGGCCTTGCTTATCAGGCTGAATTATTGCGTAGGTTGTACCTGTTTAAAAAAAAAAAAAAAAAAAAGAAAAAATAAAAGGAAGTGTTAAATAATTTTTTTAATTCTGTTTTAAACCTGAAATTTACAACTTGTTGGTGCTAGCCAGGATTTGTATAAGAGGGACAGTGGCATATGATCCTGAAGTCTGCAAAATATGTGTGTTCAGTGTTTATCAAATATTTTGGATATGAGTTGTACTAACAAAAAAAATTATTTTTCTTTAAGCTATGATCAGTTACAACATAATAACAGGAGACACTTTAACCAAAGTTTTTCAGAGAATTCCTGGAGGTAAGAGGCATTTAAAAAATTCAGAATGGTGGATTATGTATTGGATAGGAGTGTAGCATAAGTATTTGGGGATTACCTGTTACTTTGCTTCTAAATTGCTCTTAAATATAGTTCAAGTTAAGAACTTGAAGCCTGTTTCTATGAGTGGGTTTTCTTGAAGTTTTTTGGGGTTTTTTGTGGGTTTTGGTTTTTTTTGTTTGTTTGTTTGTTTTATTTTGGTTTGGTTTTTTTTGGTTTTTTTTTTTTTTAGTTTTGGGTTTGTATTTTCTTTCTCTGTTTCAGTAAGTCTTTCCTAAATAAAACCCCTAGTCTTTGGTTATCAGTGGACTCAGTGTCAGTGAAGGGACTACATGCTTCAGTGAAATACTAAGCAAATAGGAGTGAGTCTTCCCCAGCTGTTTATTTACAACATCATTTTTTGTCATCTTTTTTAGATAATTGCTGTAATGGTCATTTGAAGTGCACTTGAAACCGCACTTTGTCTGGTGAATAATTCAGGATGAGTTGCAAATAATATAATGAATTTAATGTTTACTTAAGCATATCTGTAGTAGCTGGTCATGAACTGTGTGTGTAACTTTCAGTTCTCTTAGATATTCACTGCAAAACCAGGTGTGGCACTTTGAGCTTTTTAACTCATGCCCTTGTGTCCCTTCCTGTGCTCTAAGTTTTCCCAGCAGAATCAGTGGAGCAATTTGTGTGCTTGTTTGTGATCTACTTTAGCACAAAGCCAGCTAAGTTAAAACATTCTTCGCTGGGAAATTAAACTAAAAGAGAACATGTCTGCAATGAAGTGGAAATTAGTATTTGTATGAACTATTTGATTTCCACAGGAGGATTACAGTTTTCAGCATGTGAAGCCTGCAAGGTGTGGATGTAGTTTTAACTGTCACACTGTTGTTCTGTGCATACCTGATCAAATTGATAGTGACAGTGAATATCTAATGATTTATATGTAATATGACTTCTGTCATAGGAGGAACCCCCAGCATGGCAATTTTTTTTTAACTATCTGGTAGAATACCCACCTGGAAAGATGTGGGAAAGCATTATAATCTCTCAAAGAAAAGAGGGAACAGAACACAGATTTTTCCGTGTTAATTGCCAGTCACTTTCCAGCCAAAATTATTCAGCAAGTGTTCATTCAAGCCTAGGATTTACGGTAGCCTGACTGAAACTGAGATGTGTTTTATTTTGTCATTGGCTTGAAAAAAACCACCAGTTATACAAATAAATCCCACTGATTGCATGGAATATTATAACATTGTTGCCTTCACATGGTAATCTATTTTGCAAGTGGAAGCCAGCTGATGGCAAGAAAGGTGTTCAAAAGAAACCTGAAAATTAACTTATTTTAGGATCGTTCTTTAAGATTTGACCTATCTTCAACAGCCCAGTAATTGAAGTCAACACACAGTGTGAAAAAATCCTCAAGAGTAAATGGCATAAAGAAGTAGTAGAATGTTTTACTTGCAGTCTCCCGACATTGACCCAGACATGATGAAAGACATTAACACTAATCCATATGTAGGAATGCCAGACTTTCTAATTTTAGTTTAATGTATCCCATAAATTATGCATTTGGCTTGAATTTGCAGAGTTCTTTTGATTATGCACATGCTGTGCATGGCTTCCTGAAGGTTAGTTAATGCCTAGTTTTCAGTGTTACTTAGCTTGAGTAAAGGGGGTAAAAGTTTGATCACCAACAGTTTGTTTTTTCCTAAACTTTCAAATGTAATAAATCTGTTCCTCATGTCAGTCTCTTAAGGAAATAAATTATTTTCTTTTTTCTTTAGTTGGGCTGGATAACGTGCTTACTGACCGTCACTTCATAATTCTTCTTACCACCATCATCTTTACCTTACCCATATCTTTATATCAAGACATAGCAAAATTGGGAAAGGTAAATCATAACAGCGGTTTGTTTTTTTGTATGCCATTAGAAAATAAGTGCCAGTCATAACTTAATGTAAAATTATTAACAAACACATTATGCTGCTAAAAGAACAACCTTTCAGCATCTTACTGACTGCAGTAATATTTTTATCTTTACAGATATCTCTTATCTCTCTGATTTTAACCATTGTCATCCTGATAATTGTGATGGTGAGAACTGTAACCTTCAGTCCACAAGTGTGAGTATTCTTACACTTGTCACAAATTTAATTTTTGATTATGTAATCTCTTAGTTCACTCTTGCATATATTTGCATAATTCTGGAACATGCCTCTCTTGGGACAGACAGATAATTGAAAAATTTTTACAAATAGTAATACAAAATGAACAGCTAAATATACTTTATCCTTTTTCTTTTCTTCTTCTGAATGTAACCAAATCTAGAAAAAGTCTCAAAAACCCTACAGTTTAATTGGAAATTGCAGATGATATGACTAACAGCAGCTGTGTCCTGAATGGGCATGTGAGGTTGTCTGTCATTTGGGAATTTTTTTTATTTTGTCCATTTGTCAGAAGGCCTATATTTACAACCTGAAGATAGCTAGTATCTTAGGAATACTTCTTCTGTTAATATAATAATTTCATAGTAAAAATCAATACAAATAATGAAAATTTTAAAAAATTAATTTAATAAAAAAATTATTCTGTTATTTGCGAAAAGCATGCAAACCTTTTCCAGCATTCATACTCTAAAAGTAGTGTTTAACATTAGACATTGGAGTGTTCTAGACCATTTAGTACACATAAGTATATTTTGTGACAATATTTTTGTAGTTATATTGCAAGAAAGTGTTATGAATCTATTCTTCTTCTTTAATGGCCTAGAAGAGCTGCCTTTTTCTTCATCCTTTAAATGTGAAGATATAATAAATATGAAAAACTATTTCTGAATGTGCTGTTTTATATATTGGAACAGGTTTATATGGTATATCTTATGTGCCTGTAAGTGAATCCTTCCATCAGGATTGTTTCAGCATTGTTATGCATAATTGTTCATTTGTTTTACTGCTGTGATACGTGGGTTAATTGCAGGGTATTCAGGTTTAATGCTAGGAAGATGCCTAGAATAGCAGTTTCTAAAGTTGTCCCAGCTGATGTTGTCTATCATCCCCAAAATGACGCACTCAGAACAGTGTGGGACTTCCCTCCCCACCATCTTTCTGAAGCAGCATGTTTTTCATACTGTGTGTTGAAGGGATATTTGAAAGGTTAATCTCAAAATCCCCTGTCAAAAAAGGAAGAAGCTATATATAATAGTTACTGATAACCTTGTTACTATGGTAACGTTTCTTCTCCACAGTTGTGATGCACTGAAAAATATGGAATGCATGATTTTATTTTTTCTTGAAATTAGTAATGTTGGGGTTTGGGTGATTCTTGAAGTTTTACTTTTTAATTCTTTAGAGACTTCCATTTTTGCCTTTATATTTCTTGTTTTCAAAAATGCATCTAGCAAGTTGATAAAATGTTAGTAAGAATTTTTTTTCCTTTCAAATATTTTGTTAATGTCTACGTTTTCTACTTTTACTATTTTTACTATTTTTATTTTACAGTAAGGTATAGACATATATGTTAATTATTAAAACTCTCTTCTATTATTTTGTTAGTTGTATACTGGACTGCCATCTCTCATTTTTTTTCTATGAGAATAAAGAACATTGTTTTATTTTAATATGGGTCTGATGATATTACAAATGAAACAAGTGAATCAACACATTTATTGTGAATCCTTATTAAAATACAATGTAATTTGGAGTTTCCAAAGAGACTTGATTCGGCCAGGAATATTTAATCCCTACAACTGTTGTATGGCTGAACTGATTATGTGCCTGTCATTGATGACAGGTGATTTATTCTTGGTAATTCCATGGTTTCCCATTCCAGTTCTTATGCATTCTTCCTAAACGTGTATCACATGTCTCTTACTCCATTTTATGTAGGTTGCTTCTTGGCCCAACCACAGTGGAGAAGGACAGCAAACTGTTCATTCTTTTTCAAATGCTTGAAAAACACCTCTAAAAGACTTGTCCCACTTTGGGAATCCTTTCAATAGACTAAACAAACACAATTCCTTTAGTGTTTTTCTTCTTGTCATTTACTGTGCTTCTCATCGTGCTCAATGGCTGCCTTAAGTTTCTGCAAATAAAAGGGAGATCATGATGCCCCACCTGCCTGTGATATTCCCTCTGAGAAGCAGAGAAGAAAGCTTTATGTATCTTAAATGCAAGTGTCTTAAGATCCCTTGCAACTGTATTGTTTGGGAGTTGCCACACTTCCATTTATGTAATTTAGTTTGATTTTTTTTGAGTGGAGCGGGTTGTCCAGGGACATTATAGGACTGTTATTGTCATGTTAATTCTCCAGAGAAAAAAACCCCTGTATTTATCATGAGGGATAGTTTAATAGATACTTAATTTTTTTCCTTTTATAACAAATACCAAACTGAGAAACCAAGGTGCTTTTTTTTTTCAGTTTTGCTTTTGATTACTATCATCCATATGATTATTATTGCCAGAATAACATAATGAACCTGCAGATAAAATCCAGTGGTTTGGATTACTCAGGGTTTACTCTCAGTATTTCAAGATGTTGGATAAAAATATATTTTGATGATCTGATCATTATTTCCACCTGCTCATAGCTGGGTATTTACCTACTGTGATCAAAAACAATAGGTTAGAATATCTCAAACAGTAAATGTACAGTATGTTAATACTGCATAAAATAGTTTCAGCTTTGAAGCATGAAGTTAACATTCATGCTGTAAAAAGAAACATTTTATGTTTATATTATAAAGATGGATCATTTTAATTTAATTTGATGTTCTTGTGCAAATAAATGTCCTGATGTCAGTGTCTACATAGTACATAAATCTCTAGGAAAAACTTCAAGAGCATCTGCTACATGTAAAGAGGATGTGAGAATTACTAAAGTAGCAGCTGATCGTAGGGATGAAACACCAAGTGCTCAGGAAACAAACATGAAAGTAGAAAGTTGATTCTTTTCTTCATATAAAAAAATCCAGTAGTAAGCAAAGATAAACTTTAATGTGTGATGAAATTAAAAAATAAAACTAAGCTCCCATATATTTACAGAATTGCTAAGTAATTCATTAAGGAAGAAAGAAGAATTAAAACACCTGTAACTAAGTGGGGCTGACATAATAGCTTTTCCTTTTCTGTGTCTTTCACAAGATGACTTTGATTAATATAAAATCCAAGGCTGATGTGAGCTGTACTCATTTTCTTTCTGTTGTATTGATTGAAGTTATATATAGCATCTATAAAGTTCTCAATATCTTTAAACCTTTAAAGCTTAAAAAGAACTAAAAAGGTATTTTACCTTGGACTAGAATTAAATTGAACTTTTACTGTTAATTTCCTAAAGTTCTAAATAATTGAATTGAACCTGAATTAATCTGTGAGATGTTCCTGGATTGACTGCTCGTTTGTATCTAAACTTGATGGTTTGTCCCTGATCTTCAATTCAAAACAATGGAAATCTTTTACTCATTCCAACATGTAGCTCCCCTGCCAAAAATATGAGTTTCTGCCTCTGTAGAAATTAACTTCTTTTTTTTTCCAGTCAATGTTTCATACCCGCAAAATGGGTTGAGATCAGAGGTGTGTGTTTTTCTTGCCTTCCTTAAAGATGTTTTGCTTCTCATGCACTCTGCTACTGTATTATATTTGGTGGTGTTTCTACATAAATGACAGAAAAGATTTTTGCATAACATGGATAGATGGGGAATATTATGCTGTATTTTACAAGAAGTAGAAGATAGGCCATTTTAGACTGCCAGACAAATTTGCCCAACTCTCCCTCATGGTCTGGATGTGAAATTCCTTTCACTCTGCTAGGATGTCTTAACCTTTGCCTGGTTCATTTATTCTTTTCATTTCCCTCTGCTCTTATGTAGATAAACATGAATATTTTCAAAACTTTTAAAAACTCACTAACATGCTTATTATACTGTACTTTCACTTACATATGCTGAAGACTGAGTAGAGCCTTATCTTCTTAACCTTTAGGCTTTCTTCATCACTAAGCCTCACTACCTGCAGTCTGTCTTGCTGTTGTCTTAGTTTCAGCTGAAACTTTTTCCTGTCTGGGGACTCCCTTGAACTGTCTTTTTCCTAAATCTTTTATTATTTTTGTTCCAAGAATCACATCTCAGGCTTTACTTTGTGTTAAAGCTTCTACTATATGTGATAGACAGTACAGCTGTCAACAAGTGCATTTAGTATCAAAAATGTATTTTTTCTGTTACCTTTTGTTGTTTTGTCTAATACTTCTTCTCTGGCATAAAAAACCCCTTTCTGTTCATGCAGGCATAGCCTGTGATTTTATACACTGAGTGAGGAACAGAGGGGTGGCTGGTTTTGTCATTCATCGATTTTTGCAGCTACTGCTATTCTTGTATAAGCAGCAGTTAAAATCTTCCCCTAGCAACCCCTAACAAGAATGTAGGTCAAACTGGTCAGAACAAAGTCCATCCAAAAAAAAAAAAAAAAAGTCCGACTTGAACAGTTGCAGCAGGATTGAAAGAGCACAACAGGTGTGATGTTACCCTGTATTCTACACACTTTTTCAGGGTGTGTGTGCATCTGCCTACACAGACGTTTATATTTATATCAATATGTGTATGTTTACCTTGACTCTTGATGTTTCCACTAGCTGCCCTTTGCCTTGTGAGTAATTTTGTATGATTGTTCACTATATGGCTCTTCCATAACTAATGCCTATTGTTCCCTGACACAATTTTCTCTTTCTGACTATGAAGTCTTATTTTCTATAAATACTTTCATATCACCTGCACCCTTTTCCAGGAGCTTTGTATAAGTCTGTATGTCCTGCAGACTGAACTTGGGGATAATTTCTTACTGATGCGGTCACAACTCTACAGCTGTTGACTCTCAGAAATGAAATTTCTTACTGAGTGCTTTCATGGTGTGAGATCCCTCTATTCCCACAGTATGAAAATGTTTTTCAAAGCACATGCAGCAGTATATGAGCTACTGTAGAAAACAGTACATCTGTACCGACAGGCATTGTAGGACATTACAAGCTGCTGGTAGTGTTCCAATCAGGGATCTGAAATTCTTCCTCTATTCTGCAACTAGAATGGAAGGAATTTATCTTCTTAGGCTGCTAAATAAGCAGGATTTTGTTCTTTTGGATTTTTTCCCCCAAATAATACTCCTAATCTGATTTGCCATTCATCCTTAAAGTAAAGCTGTATTTTGGTCTGTTGCATATTGCTAGTGCATAAGCTAACACTGTGCAGGGGGAGAACTAGCTACTGTGATTTTTATTTTTTAAAATTGATTATTTGGCCCCTTTATTCAAAATGTTTCAAATGAAATTCCCGTGCTTTCTGCATTCCCTTTTTAAAAATCCCTATTTGTAGGAGCTCATAATATAGCTATAATGTTGCACAGGATGTACCATTTTAACAGAAATTAAATGTGTTTCAGACAGAAGCATTCTTTATTTCTGTGAATTTAAAAATATTTTGGTTTGTAAGGTACTAGATAATCTAATTCTTAATTATTAATAGAAAAGGGCCAAAGAAAACTGATAAGTTCTGCTGTCAAAGGATAATATAAACCAAATTTTCATTCTGTATGTTTACTATCAAAGCTGACCTCTAGTGGTTACAGAGTGGAACAGTTGTAGTGTTAGTTTTCTATATGCTATTTTTATTTTGAAGTATTATTGATGTTTTTCCAATCAACTATGAAGATTTAACTGAAAAATAATACACTCAAAATTATTTCCACAGGCATTTCTAGTGATAGTGATTTGAAATCACTGGCATAAAGTTAAGGGAGCCCATATAAGGAACTACAGCAGCTATATAGGGTCATAAGTCGTATTTCACAAGACAAATGTCAGATAGCTCTATTTTATCCATAGTATTTATTACATCTACATGCTGAGTCTGAGGATATTTTAGGAGGGCCGTATTCAGCTGCTTAAGACTTGAAGCAGTATGTTACAGCAATCAAAACAATATACTACATCTGAGGACAAAGAAAATGAACTTCTTTTTATACTCAGGTTTTGTTCACTTCAAAGTTAAGCTTAGCAACCACAGCTTAAGAGCTGAAAAGGTGGTCTAAGTCTGAACTGAATGTGCATTAGATACTGTAAATGTGGGGGGTTTTAATTAAAAAGGAAGGATTGACTATTTGAGCACTCAAGAAATAGTAAGATAAGAGTTCTGAAAGAGGAAACGGCAACTTTTTTTTTTTTTTAATTTTAGGAGCTGGAGGTGGAATTTAAACATTTGAAAGCAATGAAACCAGGCACAGCATATGCCACTATAGCTGTCAAAACCAGCTAGTTATCACCAGAGAGAGGGAGAGACAAAGCTGTCATTGTTACCTTCACAGAAGTGGCCTGAGTGCCATACTGCTTTCTAGGGCAGTAGGAAAAGAGCAGCTAAGCCTCAGGTGGCAGCAGCTTTTCCTCTAAATAAAAACAGCAATCAAAGTTAGTAGCAGCCAACTTTTTAAGAGCAAGCTTCTCTGCATCGTTTGTTTCTTTGTCTGTTTTAATATCACAAATACAATGTTTAACTGGCTTGTGAATTTCATTTAATGTTTTTAGCAAATTATATTTCTGGAAAAGGATATTTTGTGTCCTTCCTCATTTCTTCATTTTGGTTCTTTATTCCGAGATGAAGTTCACGCAGTAAATGTTTTTTTTAAAAAGTTTGTTGTTGGTTTTCTGTGGTCCTCCTCTAAGCATTACAATTACCAAAACTGTGGTCCAAAACCGTACGCATACCTTAAAGAAGGAGATATGGGGAATATTATATTCTTGCCTGATTATAAAAATCTCCGTGTACTCTCCTACACTTTCTTTTATCTGTACCCTCTTACACTTTCTTTTGTCTTTTGGAAAGTAGCAGAATCTTTTTACTATGAGGAATAGTTGGAACTGGTATAAAGAAAGGTAGACTGCCTCACTTGATTTGTAGCTTAGGAAAAGATATCTCTAGACTGTATGGGTTACATGTGCAAATTCAAAGATAGAAATTACCTCTAAATAGTCAGAAGACATTTTGGATTGAAATAACCTTAGTAACAGCCTTTGCCTTTCCTATTTCTTGGTATATGATGACTTGAAGAGTTTATTTACAAAACTGAAACAGGCTGCATTTTTTACTGTGAAATCTGGTTACAGAAATACTTGAGTCAAAACAAGGGAGGTGCGAAAGGTATCTCCCCAGGTTAAAGTTGTTGTGAACACTGGGGCCTACTTCAGAGAGTTCTGGAGATCTGACTAGCAGCAGTTCTGTATTACAGCATAATATTTTAAGTAATTTTTAATAACTGATAATTGAAAAGAGGATAATCTATTAAAACAAATATCTGTTTTAGACCCAAATCAGAAAATGCATGGACATTTGCAAAATCAAATGCAGTACAAGCCATTGGGGTGATGTCATTTGGTAAGTGTTTTTTTCCGTTTTTTTCAATATTCAGATCAGCTGTAAGAAATCACTTAATATTTTGGACCAAGAAATTGAATTTTTTGTGGTCTGGTTTTTGGTTTGTTTTTTTTTTTTTATTAATATTAAGCTGGTAGGGAAAAAATGAAATTGACTGAGTCATCCATATGAATTTCATTTTTATGGTGTAAGACATTATCCTCATCCATTGCCCCCTAGCTATTGCCACTGTATTGCCACCAGAGACAGAGGTGTGCACGTGAATCCAGCTCATCTCAAAGCACCTGCATCAATGGGATTAGTCTAACTGATAAAGTGAGGAGGCTGTGATTGCTCTGCATTCCCTTGGATAACCTCTAGCAGAAAAGTCCTCATTCTGAAATCTATTCCTGCCTGCAGGATCTGGTATATTATTTCCTGTTAGAGTTGTGATAATCTGAGGCCTCCCAATGCTTGCTGCTGCCTCAAATGGATGCCATAGGAAGTCTGAAAGTAGCAAATGACTCTGTGGATTAAAAAAAAAATAGTCTCAAATCTACTTGGGTTCTTAAGCAAAAGAAGAACAGGAAGAGATGGAATGGAGGTGTGGAGGGTGGGAAATGGCATGACATTTAAGGGTAATGTAATCAGAATCAGGATGATTATGCACTTTCATCAAATCAACTAAGCAAGTAAAAGTTCTAGCCATTTATCTTTGCCACTCATTGCAGGATTAATGTTTGTATTTAATAATGAGTAGATTCAAACAGTGCTGTGTCTCTCTATGCATTATGTGTGAATTCATACATTTGCTTGAACTGTCCTGTGTGTTTCAGCATTCATCTGCAACCATAACAGCTTCTTAATATATGGGTCTCTGGAAGAACCCACATTAAAGAACTGGTCTCAAGTCACACATGTGTCTGTCTCACTGGCTGTTGTAATCAGTGTTGTGTTTGCTACATGTGGATATATGACTTTTACAGGATACACAGAAGGTAAACTGCTCAGTCCCTCAATTTTGGTGCTTGCTATAATCCTTACATTTCTGCCTTTCTGTCTGACTTTTGCTGTAAATATCTTAGTGACAAAAATCATAGTATGTATGGACAGAAATACAACATTCCTCATGGTTACCCAACAACCAAAACGCGATACAAAAGTGTCAGCTGCATATTAATAGGTGTCAGATTCCCCAGTATAAGCATCACTGGTGAAAGTCCTCTTTTAATACTTCCATAGCCAAAACACTTCTGAGAACTAAAAATCTATGATTTAGCAACATGGTCCAGCAGGAGAGAGCAGTAAGAACAAAAATTGCCTTGATTTTTCTACAGGGTGTCAGGTATATATTTTCTGTACATTTTCTTATATTTTTTCCTGCCTGTGCTAATATATCTCTAACTAATAGATATTTCCTGTCTTTACAACCGCTGTTCTGCTGTAGCTAATCCTACTGTCCCCTTTGTGGGTATATGAATATACATGAAAGTACAAATATATAACTGATGTTGCATCATGTTATTTAACATAATTTTGTTGAAGTAAGAAAGTTCAGTGCATTACCTTTTCAGGAATAATACACATTTTGTAAGCAAGCAGATTTTCTGTTACTTAATAGTGACGTTCTAGATTGTAGAAGGCTTTTCTTATGAGCAGTAGCATGTAGTTGAGAACACAGGAATTATATGATGGGGGTTCCTAGTTGATCTGTCCTTTTTTTCCTGCCTCCAGTTCTTGCTCCAGCAGAGTAAGTTACTGTTCTAGATGTACTAGATGTACTGTAGCTAGACTAAGTGCAGACTAGCTCAGACATTTAAAATATATATTCTGACTGCAGCTGTCCCTCAGCATACAACTCTAGTGTAAGCGGGTTCCATATTACCTTGTCTCCCCATCTACACCTTTTGGCTGTTTTCTGTAAAGTACACCTTATTGATTCTTCAGTGCCATTGTGAGCCTAAAATTAGTAAATCATGAGACAGTATCGTAATTGGATAGAAAAGACCTAATGGGTCATCTCATCGCTGTCTTGCACTGTCACTTTTGCCTCAGAGATCATTATTACAGATTCCTTGTGGTAAACGCTAAGCAAGATGATGATTTGAATTCTTTACTAATGCTTTTATTGTTAGATATAAGATTTGCTAGGTAATAATCCATATGTTATAATAGACTTTTGGGGTCAGAATATTTGAAATTGTTCACTACAGTTTACCAGCTATGATTAGATATTACCAGGGAAATGCAATTCTTCAGAGATAACTCCCTGGTCTTCTTTGTGTAATTGCTGTTCTGGGAGTTACGTTTTAGAGGAAATGTATCTTTTACACACAGATTCTTTCTGAATCTGTCACATTTATTTAAACAAACACTAGCATGTCACACAAAATCTGTGTTAAGGGGAAGATAACAGATTACAAACTCTGATATGTATGTTTTAAGATATTTTTTAAAGATAAATGCTACTTCAGAGAAAAATACTGCTACTACCACCGTAAGCTGAAAGTTTCTCCTGGATGCAACTTGTGACTTTAGCTGCAGTTTCTTGATATGTGTCAGGAGAGGGGATCAGAAAGTCTCAATTACTCCAGTAACTCCAGTAATCTGCACTTCAATTTGCAAATAGGCAAATGATGTGAAGTTCAAGCTAATTATGTTTTGCTATGCCTCAGGAGACATATTTGAAAACTACTGTAGAGATGACAACCTTGCTACATTTGGAAGGTTTTGTTATGGAGTTACTGTAATTCTGACCTTCCCCCTTGAATGCTTTGTGACCAGAGAGGTAAGAATTTATTACATTTTCCCTTTTACAATGTTCTTATATAATAATAATAATGTTCTCACATTATTAATACACATTGTAGCTGAAGTCTACGGTTGATCTGTAGTAAATATCACCATATTTTATCCTGATATGTGCAATGAATATGAGGGACTAGTTCTACTCTTTAGACACTGGCAATGTCACGTTGCATTACATTCGTTATTGTATTACCCAATGTTGTATTAAGAATTACTTAATAATATGAGAACTGCTTAAAATTCCAAGTTTGGCATAAATACTACTGTTGTTACTATGTTGAGAATAGCCAAAAATAGCATACTTTTTACACTTAATAGTTTTTCTTTTTTTAGAAACATCTCCATCTAGGAAATCTGTCTGTTCAATAAGTAATTGTAATTTGGTTTTATTCTGTAGTGGGCAAATGAGAAGAAAGTTAAGTATCCTCTAAATCCTGCAGGTGTAACTAAGTCAGTCTTGGAAGTGTTCAGCAATTTTAGTAATGCTTGTTATGAGTTATTTTTGGAAGCAGATGGAGATGTTTCCTTGAAGCAAGATAAGTAAAATTCAGTCAATTTATTCTCATACATTCTTTTAGTTTCCGAAGGTTAGAAGATTTGGAATAATCTGTTTGATAACATAAGGAGCAAAAACGAGGTTAAAAATTGTGGTTCTGTTTCAGGTGGTTGCCAATGTGTTTTTCCATGGGAACCTCTCAACAGTTTTCCATGTTGTTGTGACAGTAGTTATCATTGCTGTGGCGACTGGTGTATCATTAGTGTATGATTGCCTTGGAATAGTTTTAGAGCTGAATGTAAGTGAACCTCTATACTCTTTTATTTAAAAAATCACTTTTTAATAAAACAGAACACTGTAAAATCCATAGCTCTACTGAAAATCTTAAATAATTTGACGTAGTATTCAGTAGTAATGTTAGCGGGGAAAAAAAGGAATTATTCACTGCTTCAAAATCAGGTGAATAAAGGCAAAAGAAAGTTCAGGAAGTGAAGTTCATATGATTGGGAGGGCCTTTAGAACAGTTTTGGAGATAGGGCAAATGGCTATGACTTAACAAAAGTATTTAAACTGCAATAGAGATCACTAAAATACTCATCCAAACTGTGTAGCGATACTGAATCTAGCATTTCTTTCTCTAGTCTCTGCCTCTGATGAAGTTGGCAAATTATTAAACACTGGGACAGATCCTAGTGCTGCCTTGTGCCAAAGGGGCAAAAAAAAAAGAGGGGTGTAGAAAGAAAGAACCAGTAGTAGTGAGACCAGAGAGATGGTAACTGGAATTTTTGCCTGCTTTGGACTTAACAGGGAGCAATTTTAGAATCTGGGTGTATGACTTTTAAGGGAACTGCTTTGTTTGCCAGTAGACATTCCTGTGTCTGGTATCCCCTCATAGCAGAACTGAAGCTTACTAGGCAGCCCACACAAGGTACTTGCTGCCTTGAACCAGTTTTAACACATTATGTAACTTCGGTTGGCTGGCTGGGACTGCTATGTAGTCTGCTCAAGACCTAGACTAGTTGACTAAGTGGACTTAACAGATGAAGTCAGTATTTTTGCACAGAATGTACATTTAATAAAAGGAAATGTTAAATTAAAAAAAGTCCAATCTATGTCTTAACAGTTTACCTTTTTAGGTCATCTATCTTTAAATAAAAAAGATGTGGAAATATGAAAGTTAGAAGATGTAGAAAACTTTTTAAGGGCAGCCCTTGCTTCTATATAGAAATATTTTAGAACTGCCTCCTTACATCCCTGTGCCTGCATTCACTGACAGTTTCAAATCATATACTGCATGCTTAGTGATTAAACAAAATGGAGGGAGTTGTTCTTTAGGCTACATAATACATGTATGATAGATGATACATTCATATGTGTATTATGATAGATGTATCGTAATACACATGTACACTGTTCTGATCCACAGTGCAGTTTCTGCTAAGAGGTCCATAATGAGCACTTTTGTAGCAGTGATTTAGCAGGTCGTGCTTCCAGTAATGTTATAAAACAGGTCAGAATATGCAGATAAGCTGATCAATTACCCTCCTTTTAAAATAATTACCTACGTAGTTTCTTCTCAGTTAACCTTTTCCAAATTATAACTAGATAAAAATTAACAATATTCCTATTGGTTTGCTCAGGATGTATGTTTCCATTAAATTTTCTCATTCGTAACAACTGTTGGTAATTTCTTTCCCATTTTCCCCCTCTGTTTTTACATTAGAATTGCAGAAAATTTACCTCTGTATGAATGTAGATATCAATAAAAGTAATTAAATGGGTGCATACAAACACACACCTATTCAGGCCAAATATACAAATACATCAAAAGCAAGCATCCTATCGATGCAGTATTTTTTTGCCTAAACAATTACTCAATAGTGAAGCTGATATTTAAAAATTAGGTTTTTGTTCTTCACATCTAAATATACGTGCTTATGAGGTTTTTTTCTATTGTTTCCCACACACAGGGAGTTCTGAGTGCTACCCCACTTGTTTTTATCATCCCATCAGCATGTTATCTAAGGCTGTCCAAGGAGCGATGGAACCATTCTGATAACCTCATATCCAGCCTGATTCTTGCTCTTGGTGTGCTAGTGATGGCAGTTGGGTTTGTTATGACTGTCTTGCACCCCCAGGAGTGTAGCCATGGAAAAGAAATGTTCTACTGCTCCCCTAGTAATGTTTCTGTTCACAACAGTACACTGCCACCATAGGTACCACACCAGTCTCCAGACTAGATCAGGTACATCTCGCAGTGAGCCATACATGCCAGTTTAAAGGAGGGTGGAACAAAGACCTTAGTGCATATTTTGATATGCACTAAGAATTTTAAACTGTGTAACTGTATTTATGTACTTGATTTTATGCTGCCATCCCTTTCCAGGTAAGACTTGAGTTTTAACTGTTGAAACACAAATTCTCAGAGGTGCCTTTCAGTAGACATTACTTGAATAACTTGCAAGCCTAAAAAAAAGATTACATTTTTTAACTTGGTCTGCAATGCTGTTTAAAAGCTATAAATTAAATGTTCTGGAATGTAAACAACTCCCATGTTTCATTGATTTAATTTCATTTTTATTAATTTTATAATCTTTTCATGTATATTTATTAGCACACTGTAGTATAGGACTTTTTGAAGTCCTGAGGAAAAGTATGTCTGGATCTCTGTGTATTAAAATTCTGCTGTTAAATTGAAAGACCCTTATTAAGTCTGTCTTTGATTTTGCAATAACTGTCCTTTAGTGCTGAAAGCTTCCCTTATAGTGGCTCTTAAGTCAAAGGGCAATTTTGTATTGTGATTGAACTGTAACTGGCAAATTTAATTGTAACTGTTACAATTTGTGGTCTTCTAATTAAAAGATATTGCATGAATAAATCCATGCAGGTGAATTTAAAAAGATTCTACTAGGCTGTCATTATAAAAATTTATAGACTGACAGAGAAAAAAATTACATGCATAACGAACAGTTTGATTCTTACATTTATAACCCCATTTATTATTTCTGAAACTGAAATTAAACATTACTGTGTATCAGGTATGTACAGCTTGAGCAAATGCTGTGAGAAGACATTGATTATCATTCTAGTCCTCTGATTCTTTTCAGTATATTATTGTTCATTTTGTCAAATTTTGGTGATTTGTTATGTTTTCCAAAATTCATGTAGCATCAAGGATTCATGTATATATATATGTGTGTATATTTATGTACATATATATATATTTATAAATAGACTCACATATGCCTATAGAATATGAGTAATTTGAAGTTGAGTAATATGAGTATCCTCAGTCATATCAATGCTGGGATTTTGAAAATGTCTTGTTATGAAATCAAACTGTATACTTTGAGTTAATTATTGTGGTCATTGTGGTTCCCCTTGCCAACTAGATGTAAAAGGCTATTTCATTTTTATGCTGCTTAATGGGAATGGTTTTTGTCTTCATTTCATACTTGATGACAAAGCTATTTCATTCAAGACTTCTAAGTAGATCTTTAAGCAAGAGTCAATAGATGGCGATAATACTTGTAAGAATAATACACTTTTTAAAAGTAGTGTTTCCAAAATGAATGTTTCAAGTATCAGTGGGGTTTTTTTAAAATGGTGGGGGGTTTTTGTTTGTTTTGGTTGTTTTATTTGTTTTGTTTGGGTTTTTTTCTTAAGTTGTAAAGCAATTACAGTGAACTGTGAGTGTTATTCTGCTTTAATCTCCCTATATAGAGTCAGCTTTGAGGATGATAATTTTTCTGTTGTCCACATACCCGATACAGTTGACAGAGTATATTTTTCACCAGTTTAGATCCAGCAATAGCTGATTTTGTCTTAGCTGTGGATGAGATTCACTTTCTTCTATGCCAAATGGAGTTAAACCTAAATAATATTTCCTTGTGACAGCTAATGACACCTTCCTGATGAATCAGAAATCTCTCATGAGCTTTATTTTCTTTTTTTTCTGATTTTTTCCACTGTTGAAGTGTGTTATCTTGTTTCAAGTATTAATTATAAGCAGTCTTTGCTTTAGTGTGTCAGTGGAATAATTTATAACGTGTTGTAGTATTGCCTGTTCAACTTAAACATTCTGCTGAGGCTGTGTTGATATTAAATCGTGTTTGTGTGTCCTTTATGAAGGATGAGTCTTTCTATGCTTTTCTGCTTTACAAATGCAAATTTAAAGACAATTTGTTTCATTATTCTTTCTATTTTGTAAAGTGTAAAGTCAGAGGTAGTAGTGGTCCATTAAATGTTTTCATTGCTGATAGAGCTTCTTTTGCTCTTAGAAGATTCTTTTGCTAAAAATAGTTGCATTCCTGTAACCATATGCTCAGTGCTTTTCACTCATGAATTTTCCAGGTGATGATAGGGCTCTCCCAGCCATAACTATATTGAAAAGAGAAATCAGATATCATGGATACCATAAAGTTAACTGCTGTTTGGGTAATGGCTTTATAAAAGCTGTGGTCACTTCCTTTTCAGTATTGCATAGTGCAACTTACCTTTATTGAAATGACAAATAATAGCAACCTGCTCTATGCTTTCTTAAGGCCTAGGAGGTCTGAATACAGAAAGAAGCACCTTTTTGTTTAACAATAAAAATTGTGATGGCCAGTAGTTTTTTTTGAAACACCTAAGACTCCCCAAAATAAATTTGTAGATATCTCTAAAGCAATGCAGTATTTAAGGATATAAAAATACAGCTGTTATAAATATGACAGTAAGTAAGTCTTGATGATACAGAAAAGAAAGATACATAAAACGTAACAGGAAACATTATGGCAAAAAGAGTATAACCACAATAAAGAATTACTAGTGAATATACTTAAATTAGGCTAAAATGTCTTTCTGTGACTAAAAAAATATAAGGCAAAAGCAGCAATTTACAGTCTGGTACTTTTAGCAGAGCTCACTGAAAATGAATGAAACCTGATTACTCCCTGTGTTGTACTACTGGACAGATTTGCAGTGAAGAGTCTGTTCTAGGTTTGTAGTTATAAAGGTTTGGTTGGTAAGCTGGAGGTATATAGCATTGCTTAATTACTGAACAAATCACAACCCCTGGCTCTTTATATTTCAGTACAATAAAGTTTTCTTTTTCATCTCAGTAATTTTCAGATTTTTATGTTGTTTTCCCTGGTTAACATTACAGACTGGGGTTTGCTCTAACTTTGCAAAATCCATTGGGAACCTCTCACTGGCCTTAGCATATGCAGTATCTCACCAAAATCTTACTACTTCAAGCAGAGCTGTGCTGTGCAAAGAAGTGGAAGGAGTCCTGGGAGCAGCAATATTCCCAGCTCCGAATGCTCTGTGGTGACAGAACGTCACGGAGTCCATGCAGAGGGAGAACAGTGAAGTTCCACAAGTGCTTGCTGGCAGGATTTTTACATGAACAGCTGTGACTCACAATTTCTCCAAGTCCCTCTCTCCAGCTGAGAAGGCATTTCAGGTCACCAGATGTACAATTACCATTCTCACAGGAGCTAAGCAGACAGTTTCTGACTTTCTAGAGCAGTGTGCTTCTTGTCAATCACAGACTTCAGCACATTCACAAAATACTTCCTCCTGAAGGTCTGTCAGGTGACCAAACCCCATGTACTACCTTAGACTCCCTAGAGAATTTTCCTGCCTCCTCAAGAGTCTCTGTGGAGGGGGGGAGGAAAATGGTTCAGGTTTGCTAAATGGACATAATTCTATACGTTTTTCACACACAACACTTTTATATCTCATATTACACACATTATCTGGATCTGATAGGGGAAGGATATTTATTTAATAGATACGCTGTTTAGTATTTGCGACTCATTGGCAAACAGAACTTACATGTAACATGATGATTTGTTCAGACACTAGTGTAAACACTGAGTAGACATTAGGGAGAGACACAGAAGTGGCAGACTACACAAATGCATTGTGAGTGAAAAACATAGGATTGAACACGTTCCCATAAGAGGAATGAGGGAGAAATCAAAAGCCAAGCATAATGCACAGAAGAGTTATCTTCTTATAGTAGTTCTATTACATGATCTAATTTTGAAAGGAATTCTCAAGTTTCAGCCTAGAAAATGTGTTGCAACAGTTGTTGTTTGGATTTTTTTTTAATTGGTGTAAATTCTAAAATGTACAGGGTTTTAATTCAGGCCAGTGAAGGAAATAAGTAGAAGCTTTCCAGTTTCTGCCATTCCGTGCTACTGGAGAAGATAAGATTAAGGTACATGCTTAGTACATGACTCAAAACTCTTTATTGAGAGAAATTAGATTATTTGGTTCTCTCTCTTTCTGCTTATCTTTCTTTTCCCTCCTAAGTAAATGCTAATTCTAGGTGCTTCATAAGACAATACTTTATGGAAGAGCTACAGTCACTGTATAGAATTCCAAAATCACATGCAACACACATTGAAGAAAACCACAGGAAAGTCCGAATTTTCACATGTGGTTTCCTAAAAGAGATAGTGGCCACCACTAAATACTGGAAATTCCCAATAAGATTCATGAACTTACTGTATTAATACAGAGACAGAAGTAATGAGCTGAAGACAAAAAGAAAGTTAGACTCTCTAAAAATAAATTACAGATGTCATTCTGTAAAACCTGCATTTAGATGGGGTTGTGCAAATTATCTTTCAGTTGGGAAGCTTATGCCTGCCACAAGCAGTAAACTTAGCAGGTTCTTCAGCAGTGTCCTTCGTATTGAGGGAGGCAGAAAAGCTGACATTGGAGATGGTGCTGTCTTGACAAGACTGACTGCCTGGGATTGCATGGCAGTATGTTGTACCCATCTCTCATGCTTTTTGTTTCTAGAGGCAGGGGCTGTCTTATTTTTTTTCTCTGTATTCATACACTGCTTAACACAGTGGCTTCTGATAGATGACAGGGCCTCCTAGGTGCTGTAGTAACATAAGCAGTAATTATTAAACTTTGGTCATATTATGCTATTCTGGTGCTGGTCCTTCCAGGAACTTCATAAACCACCATGAAGCCTTCCTGGAAAGGTGGGACAAGTGCAAGTGTACAGTTAGCCAATTATCATAGGACAATTGACATTTCCACTCTTTCATAAATCAGATGTAATTTCATTTAGGTTTTAGAAGAGTAGGCCTCAGTGGTGAAATGCAAATATATAATTGATGGCATATCAAATTGTTTCTAGTGGTCTCTGTTGTACTTGTCCCAGCTGTGGGAAAAGCATATGGATGCAGCAGCCTTAAACCAGCACGCTGGGAGAGAGGAAGGGGATCTAGACCATAGAGGTGTGAAGCACTGTCAATTTTCTTAATTTAGGTCACCTACAAAAGCAGTGGGAATCAATGGCAAAGCACACATTTCTTCCTCACATTTCCTTCTTTCAGCTCTGTGCTTCCCGTCTATTGCATTAAGTGCTTTACAGGGCATTGTAATAGGAAAAGACCAGGAGAGTGAGTGAGCTGGATCAGTATTCTAACTTTGTAGGTAGAGACGAGATTATGAGAAGCTTTAACAGAGGGAATGGCGTGGCTGTGGATCCGGTGGATCTGCAGGTGACTGAAGGCCCATGCCATTATATTTCATGGAGACGTTTTCACTCATTGTGAAACTGAACAAGAGAAGAAATTTCATTTCTTGCCCATGAAAAGTACAGATAACATTATATAGAGAGCTTGTTGTTTTAAATAAAGAACTAATATTTTTATGTGCTTTCTGGGAATATGCAGTCTTGTATTGTCTAAGAAAAACAATGGAAGGATATTAACAATTCTGCTTGCTATAAACCAGTTCAAGCTTCTGGAATTGATTTA